TCCCCACCCTACCGTGGTTATTCTCACGCACTCTGGCTATGCAGTCTCATGACTGACAGAAATTTTTAGACAGCAGTAAAATGGAAATGAAAACAGTTCTGTTCTTCAACTTCTGTAGGATCAAAAGCTCAATATTTCAGCAATCTGGTTTTACTTCTTTGGGGCTGGGGTTTTAGATTTGTCTGTTTTTCCCTAACCTAAATTAAAGTTCATATAACTGTAAAGAACACACTGCCTATGAAACAAGGCACCTTATACATTTCATTAGCACATCATATCTAAATATGACACCAGCCCAATAATGTATTGTGCATCTCTGATGTGGTTTATGGACTTAGATAGCTTGCCTCTTCCAGGAACATGTACAAATAACAAATCAGATGAATGCCGCTTACCAAGTGGTAAGATTTCTTCCTGTCCCGAAATGGCTCATCACTGGATCGTTGACAAGGACAAGTCATGCCATGGAGTACCACCACCATTACACGTGACCACACCTCCACCAAAGCCTCACTGTGAAACACCTCCTCTCTGCAAGCTTATCTGGAGCAAGTAAGAAAAAAAATCAATTAATCCAGTCTTTCTAGACAAAACTGTATCAGTATCTTACAAGAGGAGTAAGAACTATAGCCCTAGTATGTGATAATAGCTGAAAATGTCAGCTTAATGACAGGATATATATAGCAAAACACGTCTGCAAAAGAAACTGCTCTTTAATGATTTGCATGCCAAAGACAACTGAGCAAGGAGAGGTGAAGTCAGAAAATCAGAGATGTAGCAAGCTCTAAAATCCATACTCCCTAGGTTGCAACCACACAGATTTATGTTACTTTTCTCCCTCCCTACCTTCCAGGGTATGCTCACTCACTCTTAGTTACACTATTTAAGTAAAGACTGAACTCTAAATTTTAAGTGGGCCTTCAGTACAAACTGTAAAGAACCTGGTTACCAACCAGGTTAACCAAGCAGACAGAAACATCCTAGCCAAGAAGTGTCCTATTTTATCTAAAACATGGAACTCCAAAAGCACAAAGGTTCGTTTCCTGCAGTATTTTCTATACTTGTGTTAACTCTGAAAAAAAGCTTTTTTTCAGCTGGATTGCTTATAAAGCCCCTCTTACACACGCTTACTGTAGTGTCTAATAAGTTATGAGCTATTGTATGTGCAATTTTTCTTTGCACAGCTACTTTTATCATCCATTTTTCCTCAATCTGATGCAGTTGCCTTTTTCATGAGATTTCTGGTGTCAGATTGATGAAAAGTTGTGTATGCATACGGAAACACTATAACCATTAGCCTCTTTAAGAAAAAAAAAAACGGAGCTTCAAATTTCCTAATCTTTCCTTTGCTGAATTTATCTCCCAGATTATTGGCCATTCTTAGGGTTTTCTTTCTCATAATACTTTCTGTCCTGAAGCAGAGAGTCCCGTGCCATTAACTGGGAAGTACTGTCTGACAGGAACAAATTTTATATAATGACTGGTTAACATAAAAGGGGTTTGGTTTCTCCTCTGTCTGCAGAATTTTTGCAGAATGCCATGCTGTGATACCACCAGAACCATTTTTCAAAGGCTGTGTTTTTGATGGATGTCGCATACATGATGAATCAATGCAGTGTTCCAGTTTGGAGATATATGCTACAGAATGTGCTGCTAGAGGTGTCTGCGTTGACTGGAGAAGAAAGACCAACAATATATGCCGTAAGTATTGTGGAACTCAAAAATGTATGTGAGAAATGGTAGTAATTAGTGTTTTATTCAGTAAACACATCTTACATCTAACACTTCACTACTGTCTACAAAAAATACAGCAATGTCCTTACAGAAGATGCAGATGAAGGAGGCAAAGCTGCAGTCACTTTTGCTGCAAAAATGCATCTACTGTCAATTTTTTATCTTTTTTCTTTTTTCCATACAGCATACAATTGTCCAGCAAACATGGTATACAAGCCATGTGGGCCCATTAATCCTGCTACCTGTGATCCAAGGTATGGAAAAAAAAAAAACCACCAAAAAAACCACCCCAAAACAACTGCTTGTATTTTTTTTTTCTATTTTTACCTATCTACTTTCCTTAGAGAATGGAGTTACTTCATAATGAAACATCTTGTGAATTTGGATAATTTATTCAAGATTTATAAATATCAATCAGCTTTATGAATATGCACTTCCTGTTGCACTTCAGAAAATGTAAATTCTATTGTCTCCCTTGTATCTGATATGGCAGCCTTCTACATATGCTGTTCTCTCTCCTGCTTCACTGCAAAAACCATTGTACTCAAATTCATACATTCCTCCCACTCTAGCGATGTTGAGCTTCCTGGCTATGGAGTAACTGAAGGATGTTTCTGTCCTGAAGGAAAGTCACTCATCACTGAAGACAGCATCACCTGTGTCAATGAATGCTGTAAGTAACCCGTAGCTAGTCTGGGGAATACAGATCAGGATTGATAGTCAGGAGGCCTGTGTTCTACTGCCATCTTCTACACTGTCAGATCACAGGCAAATTACCTTCTTTATGCTCCTTTAGTTTCCCCATCTAAAAATTGAATAATAATTAATATTACCTCTTTTTTATCTTCCTTCCTTACATGAGACCTACCAAGATGGTAGAATTCTACATTCCAGAAGAACTAGCCTGCATATTAATTTCCTTAGTAGTTTTATCTTCACAGTATTTGTATTTGAAGCTACATAAATTTACTCCCTTATGTCAGTTTTCAGTGGTGTAAATCCCCATTCTTTTTTCTTTTTTTTTTTTTTTCTTTCCAGCTTGTAGGGAACCAAATGGAGTAACCAGACAAGTGAGTATCACAATCAATGTGGTTTATCAAGCACAGACAAGTGAAGCAAGAGGATATTTAGTGTTTCACAAAAACAAAGTTTTGCTTAGGTTGGGGTGACTTCAGTTTTTTTTCAAATGTTCATTCCCTTTTAATCTTAAAAAGAATTATGAGTGCCAGAGCAGAAACCACATTACTCCCAAAGAAATTTAAGAGTAAGTGATGGGATATTCTTTCAATAACCACCACCTCACACACTGAAAAAAAGAAAAAAGGAAGAGAGAAAAAGAAAAGGAAAAAAAAAAAAAAAAGAGAGAGATAGAAGGTAGTAGTGGAATTTCATCACCTGTGCTTCTTTTATTTCCAGAAATTTGGCTTGTCAAAGTTACTAGAGATGAAGAGACAAATGGATAATGAAGTTTACCTGTTGCTGACAATATTGATAGTCTACACTCTTAGTTCTTCAGCTGCATACAAATTACAGAAATTTCTATCTGTAACCTAATATGCAAATAAGTATGTCTCATGACAATTTCTTATTCCAAAATGTACGCAAAGCTCAGTCAGTTCTCCTTTAGACCTCTTGTACCCCTCATACTAACACTACTAATAAATAGAAAGTGATATCTGTGTGAACATGCTCAGAACGTTCAGTGGCCTTCCCCTAATTAGCTTCAGTTTCAGGGTTTCTTCTAAAATCTAAAAATACTAGAAATATGGAAAGGATGATGTAATCAGGTATCACTCTATCCACGAATATGTCAACTGGAAAAAAATAGGATGTTTTTCATTTGAATTTATGTGTAATTTCTTTCTTTTTTTTTTTTTTTTTCCATTTTTATATAGCCGGGAGAAAAATGGACAAAAGATTGCCAGGACTGTGTCTGTGATAAAAATACTCTTAAAGTGCACTGCACAAAGCACGAGTGTCCTCTGACACCACAAGTATTTTGTGATGAACCAGGTTACATGCCTGTTCCAGTACAAATACAAGAAGACCCATGCTGTACCAAGACTGAGTGTTGTAAGTAGCGTCTTGGTTCTTTATCATGGGGAATATACCGTGGAATTGCAGCAATAATTTATCTTTTTTTTTTTTTTTTTAATACTTTGCATTGATTTCATAATGCTTTTCTCCCTCATCCCACTTCTTAGAATCTTCTTGCACAACATTTACTAGATGCTTAAAGAGAACAAATTTAAATATGAAAAGATTTTACATAGTTAGACACAGAAAAGTAACTGGAAATCTCCTATAATTTAACACTGAAAACCTTTAATGCTGCTGCCACCTGAAACAATATTCAAAAACTATTCAACACCACTACAAAAAAAAATATCTTAACTTAAAAAAAAAAAAAGTCCTGAACATTTAAGAATTGTTCAAGAAAGTTCCTGAACCTCTGAGAGTCATCAGATTTCCCAACTGGTACAAATTTATCTTTGGAAGTATCTCTTTCCAGAAATCACCACTCTATTCTTTTCAGGCAATGCTTTGTTTTACAAAGGTTATGGAAAAGCCCATTCACTTTAAAAATACCTGGTAAATATACTGAATCAGGAATTAAACTAGCTCGTGTAAACAACACTATATTTGCCCCATGGGAAAACTTCTGAAGTTAATGTAAAACAAAATTACTTTAATTTAAAAATCCTGAGTTAATTATTTTCTATATTCTCTTACATGAAACAGTCTGCAACACTAGCTTCTGCCCTAAGTACACACCGCAGTGCTTAGAGGGACAGGAAACAGTCACAATAATGCAGCCTGGAAAATGCTGTCCTACCTTTGAATGCAGTAAGTACTATGCACGTTCTTCATGTGTTATTCATAGCTGTATTTTTCTAAGTTTATGAATACAAAAACCTTAAAAGAGAAAGATGCAACTTATCTGTGTTATCATATTGGGCCAACAAAGCAGCAGTTTCTTTACATACTTCTGCTTGTTAAAACTTACACTTCTATGACACCATATTTCTTCCTTCTTTACAGGACATGGCTGCGTAGTCAATGAAACCTACTATGCAGTAAGTACACAGAGTAACTCACTATAAAAATACACCTTCACATAGGTTCCCAACGCAATGTTTTTGAGACTCCTATCATGGACCATATTTTGCAGAAAGGCCTGAGATAAAACATTATTAATTATTTAATTGAGATCAGCAGTCTCCCTACAAGCAAAAGCATTTTTTGCTCCCCTTTCTGCATTAGCAGAATTTAATTGCAAAATGGATATTATCAACAACAGAAACACCACCACAAAACAACCAAAATTGTCTTTAAGGATAGTTTAGCCCATGCATACTTTAGCTTGTATTGTCTGTGACATACATACACAAAGTAACTTGCTTTCCCTGACTAATAATGACTTTTTTCCTAACTTCCCCTAGCCTGGAGCTGTCATTCCATCAGGCCCCTGTGAAGAATGCATCTGCTCTGAATCCTCTTACTCAAGACCTGACCATGCTACTGTCAGGTGTGAGCCTGTTATCTGTGACACATACTGCCCAGCGGTGAGTGCTATTTTGCTGTAATTCCTACCCCACTCAGCTGAAATATCCACCCGTCAAGGTCAGGGTCCTGGCTCCATGTCTTTTTCTATTTCTTTCAAAACAGGGTTATAAGTATACAAAGATACCTGGACAGTGCTGCGGCACATGCAAGGCAGACGCTTGTATAGTGACTACGGAAAACAACATCACACGCGTACTTCAAGTAACTATCCCTGGTTTAGTTCACTTTCGGGGAACTCTGCTGGTCTTTTCAGTTTCCTCTCCTTGTCTTTGTCACGTTTATTTGCTGTATCTTTTCTCATGTTACAACAAATGATTATTCAGGCAGGGAATGGACTGCTTCACACAGCTCGAACAGCACATCGAGCCATGAAACTCCAGTTCTAAGACTTCTGGAAGCAACCATGATCCTGAATACAGGCTTTCAGAAAACAATACAGGAAAACATATAGGTGAAAGCAACGGGCCCTTATTTGCCTTCAGCTCTGAAAACCGAGCACCCATTTTGCTCAAAAGATAATTTTATCTGTGGAGGCAGCTTTCTGCTCCAAATAGCCAATTTCAAGTTAGCTGAGAGCTTTAGGACAGGATGAGTCAGTGAAGCCAGCAGGAATTCTGCTGTGTATCTGAATGGACTTACCCATAAATTCTGATGACAAAACCATTGAAACACAAATTAATCTTTCCAAGTTCACATACTTAGCCTATTCACAGAAAAAGCATGTCCATATCCAGATAAAAATGCAGCCTCTTCACTTGGTTAATGAAACGACTTACAGCAGTATGATAATATGACAAGTAACTATCAGCTGAAATTCAAGGAAATTGTTCGGAATAATCAAATTGCAGTAGGCAGCAATGATAAGACACTGCTTGTTTGTTTGTTTGTTTCATATTTACATAAGAAGATTTTTATTCATTTTAATTTTAACTACTTTCAGGCTGGAGAATTCTGGAACTCACCTGGTGACAACTGTACAATTTACACATGTGAAAAATATGACGACCAGTTCATTCAAGTCGTCTTCCAGAAAAGCTGTCCTCCCTTTAACCCTGATGACTGTCATCCAGTAAGTACTCTTCTCATGTTTGAAAAGGTTGCAGTAGCTAACATCAGTGACAGAAGGATCACAGTGTCCAAGGAAAACACCTAGCAGAAGCATCACATAACATGTAGCTCTCATTTTATCCTCTCTGAATCTGGTCGTCATCAAATTTCATTTCAGAAAAGCAAATCAAAATTAAAATGGGTGATAATATCAATCCTTATTGAGGACTGGGCACTAGAGAAAAGGGTACAGCATAATGTTTTGGATTCCTAAAAGTGTCAGATGACCTACAAGCAAGAATCTTATGAAAAAAAATGGGATTTTTATTCCTAAATTATTTAAGATTATAAATTCTTTTTTAGAATTCACTTATTGAAAACAAAGTTGAAGGAAAATAAGCTACTTCAGTTCACAACATCATTCAACTTAATACAGCTCAGGGTAGATTAGAACCAGTCCCATACATCTGGGGAGTCAGTTATTTCATTACTTGTGTTACCTGTCTGACATAATCCCTCACCTGTACTGACTTTGGTCACTCGTAATATCCCACGTACTTATTTCTGAAATTTTACTGCTGAATTCTGATGACAGCAAAGCAGTTCCAGTCCCCCTCAATGTAAGCTTTCAAAGAACCCTTAGTTATGCACCCTTAACATTTAGCTGTGCTTGAAATTAGATTCCATGTCAATACAAAAAACTTTCTGGTGCCACAGAGACTTAGGAAGCAGGGAAAGTCTCTGCTTTAATATGTAAATACAAAACCTGAGTTATGTTTTTCTGTTTTCCCTCTCAAGGATGACATCAAGCTATCTGAAGATGGATGCTGTAAAGAGTGCCACGTAAAACTGAGAAGTAAGTAATGATAATTTTATTAAGTAATGGTGCACGTTATTAGGTATATTAGTCCATCTTGCATGGTAGATGCACAGATACAAGAGGTGAACAGACCAAGTTTGGGACCACTGCCTCACACTGGCATGAGAAAGGAAACAGGCAGAAAAAGAAGGGGAACAGAACATTTTCAGCACACACTTTAGGGCCTTGGAAAACATGGATAGGGTGAATTTTCCCACCCCCCACTGTTAAATGTTAGCCTTTTTCTGGGAGGGAGAGGACTACAACTGTTCTCCAACTTCCATAGATGCATACTCTTTAAGGAAGAAAGTGAAAACAGTCCTGGGAGGTGAGTGTGTGTTGAGCAGTTACCACAGTTCTGCTCTTTATTTCTGCATCCTGCACCAAAGTTCCATATGCAAAAGGGAATTTTCCATTCATTGATAAGACACGCAGCAAGAATCATCATTTGGCCCTTAGCAATTTAACGAGGAATGCACTGGGACCCAAATTCCTATTTCAGCTCCATCCATCTCAGTTTTCTACTATAAACTGTGTATCATGCATGGCTATCTATTTATATGCACATGTATTTTAACCTATTTTCCCTTGCTTTGTGACAAACTCAGCTTGTATGAAGCACAATACTACTACTTTCATCAAATATCATGGATGTGTATCTTCTGAACCTGTTGAGATGACACACTGTGAAGGCAGCTGTGATGCTTACTCACGGTAAGTGATATAAAAGATAATTGTGGCCTCTTGTCTTCTAGTCTTTACACTAGTTACACAAAGCAAATCACAAGTGATTTTCTAGTATGTCCAACATCCACCCAGTCATCAGCTGTTTCCACTGTGCTAACTAGAATTTTTAACAGACACGATGTACTAGCTTAATTATCTCAAGACTTGCAAAGTTTTAACAGCCTGTTCAGTGTCATAATGAATAGACCCAAGTTTGGATTCTGCCCACATAAAAGTGAGGTTATTTGCTTCTCATTTTGGACTGGCTTAATGTGTGCTCTGGATTAATGCATTTACTTTTTCTGTGCCATAATGAAGAGACAGATCCATCCATTTTTACAATGAGGAACAACTTACATTTCACCACAATACTGTAAGAATGGTGACACTGAGCGACAGTCCTACATGCAAGCACACAACTTCTGGTTATATTTAGTAACGGGTGCGAGGGGCAGTGGTATTTCTCACATAATTTCTGAATCTTTCTCTTTGTTGTTTTTGCAATCAGATATTCTCTAGAGGCGAACACAATGGAACACAAATGTTCGTGTTGTCAGGAAGTCAAGACCAGTCAAAGAAAGGTGACTCTGACGTGCAGTGACGGAACCTCCCTGGATCACACATACACCTATGTGGAGAAATGCAGCTGTGAGAGGAGTGAGTGCATTCCCCATGACAGCACCCAACAGGGAACGAAGGCCCCTCAGGAACAAGTGAATGTCTAAGATCAGAACGAGAGAGAAGTCGTCAAACAAGGGTTGAACATAAGACTAAAAAAAAAAAAAAAAAAAACTTCGAAAAAACATAAAAGTGTCAAAAGCAGCTAAAATTTTGGACAAACAGATGATATTTTCTGCATAAAAACTCAATATGTCTGTCTACATTATTTCAGTTTTCATTACCAATATAACTCTCATTGTTTTTCATGTATTTTCTTTTACACCTTGAGAGGTACAGCATAGGGTCATTTTGACATTTTCTATTAGTTTGTTTGTCTTCTAAGAAGTGCTGTACCATAACATGGAGAGCTGGATTTACACTTGCACGAAGTCTACTATGAGAACAACATTCTTCTCTGGCTTGAAGCTTGCCTGTGGTGGCACAATATAGACACTTGACGACACCTAATATTTCCATTGACATAGACTGACCTTTTTTATAACATTTTCATTCCAGTTCATTGAGGCAAACCAAAAGCCAAAGTCCAGAAAACAAACAAACCACCCAACTCCAAGGAAAACTGTACATCTCTGTTTCTTTATTTTTCTTTTTATATTAAGGAAAACTTAAGACTGCAGAAAGCCATACCTTCTCAAAACCATAAACTTCAATATTTTGAACAATTTATGATAGGCGTATTTCCTTATATAGTCTCATGAGAAAAAGAAAGAAAACCTATCATAAGAAGCTGCTGCACACTACTCTTTGTTTACATAACACCATCAGCATAGTAACTGTATGAAAATATGGATTTTTTTTTTGTTTGTGGTTAACTGTTTACAGGAGAAGTATATATATATATATATTTTTGCCAACAGGAGCATATGAAGGATTTTTTAAACAAAAGTAATAATAATAACAGTAATAATAATAATAATAACAAAATGTACATTCTTTCCTAGAAAGCTTTCAAAAGTTTAACAATTGCTATTTATTTTTTTCTTTGGAAAACTGATTTGTTGGGTCATTTCTTTCAGAATTAATGTTATCCCATTTCTTAGTCTTAGTCATGTTATCTGGGTGTTGTAGATTTTCTTCTTCTATTTTGTTTTGGAATATTGTTTTATTTTTGTTCCTTATGAAAAAAAAGTAATGATGATTAATAAATTTTAAGCATTTTACAGCACGCCTCCTTTGACTTTTCACTGAATCCCTCACAAGAGAGTTGCTGGCCCTGTAAAATATTTGCTTCCCATCCTACTACAGCCATTTCTCAGTAGCTCCAGGTCAAAAGTCAATCTCAACTGTGGTACCTAATCCCCTATAGAGCTTTGATACTGCTTTGAATGAAAGGCACTCAAAAGCAAATACTGAAAGTACTCCAAGCACATCACTTCAGATGCTATCAACTAGTGAGCTTCCAGTAAGCTAGCACATCCTGGAGTCTGTACATATTTTGTAGCTCTGAAAGTTCTTTACCTGTCAGACAGAAATCCAAAGTATTCCAAACCAGTTAGTCGCCTATTTTAGAGCCCACTGCAACATACATAAATCTCAAATCTGAAATTGCGCTGTTGTAAATCTACAAGTTTTAACAGGTTACTGTGCAGCTTTAGCTACACTTTACTCTGAACCAGCCACCAGAGATCTGACTGTAGATTGTAAAATGCCAAGCAATGTATTTTACACAATTTACAAATGACTGCTCTAGGATCAGTAGGTGGAACAGTACAGGCTTTCTGCAGGTGCCCTGCAGCAGCTTAGGCTGCTTTCTCATCTATTTTTCTTTCTCGGAAAACACTGAGCTCTCCCTGAGGATCACTAACATCATACTTCCTGCTTGCAAAAAATCCCTACGCCCTCTCAGCTTCCTGTCGACAAACTGTTACTTCACTGTCTGTTTTTTCCAGTCCTTAGGCTCTTCTGCTTCCCAATGAGGCCGCAAGTGGCATACTGCTCTGTTCTCTCCTTTCCACCTAACCCACCAGGCTTCCCAATGCAGAACTACTACTGAATTCATACCTGGTTCAGCAAGTGCCAGATCCTCTGGCCTTCCCAGGCAAGCTAGGAAATTATTCTTCTCCCACTCATTCTGCAGAGGGGAAAAAAGATTGTCTATAATATAAAATCAATTATTATGCACTTCTTTGGTCCACAACAGCTCCTTGTCCACAGTTAACTCACTGAAATAACAGATTCCCTGCATCTTGCTTCAAGATCATTAGTTGTTTTTCCATGCAAAGCCTCTATCTCAGCATCCCAGCAGCTACCCTCTTCCCTGAAAAACTCTGTGCGTATTAAGTCTGCGCCACCAGCCACTTCATACAACTCACTGAAAGAGGAAAAACTAATATGGTGAGAAGAAGGGAATGAAAGACACATAATGGCACAAGGGAAGGCTGAGGTCATAATGACAAGGACAGCAGAGACAATAGCCAACCTAGAATTTGGTGGCATAAGAAGAAAAAAAAAAAAAAAAAAAAAAAAAAAAAAAAAAAAAAAGAAGGCAAAGCAAAGGAATGGACAGACTTTGGTCCTGGCAGGGGGAGACAAGGAAACAAGGAAGGGAAACATAAGCCAAGGCAAACCATGGAAGCATGCAGAACCTGGGGCTGAGGCTGTACTGGAGACCCTGCCTTGGAGAAGGAAGGATCTGTACCACAGATACAGTCCCAGTGCTGGGAAAGAGCAAATGGGAGCACTCAAGTCAAGAGAAGGCGAAGAGGTGACAACATGCTTTGGGAATGAAAGAGCAAATGGAAGGACTTGCAGGGACTCACTGAAACAAGACATGGAGTAAGTGAAAAACAGCCAGCAGCAGTAGACCAGCCTTACAGCCTTCCTAAATTTTTCTTTACAGAGGACCTACCTTTGCTCTGAGTTATTGCTGACAAATGCTGGTTAATAGCTCCAAAGTAAACCCTTCTAAAACATGGGATGAATGAGATCAGTTATATCTCTCAAAAATAAATTGCCATTTTTTTGAACCGTAGATAAATACTAAAGTCGATAAACAATTAGGTGGAAGAAAGTGATTGACTTGGTAGCTCTTTATTGGCACAGGTCAGAATACTGTGCAGGTCACACTGAACTAACTGTACTAGTGTAGGTAAGTAATGCATATTACACGAACGCGAACACTAGAGGGCTCTGGGCTCACAGTTTACAAGCCTGTATGAAAAGGGTTTCTGTCAAAAGAGTTTCTTTCAAGGAACTTCGAAGTGAGACACATAATAACTATTGCCTTACTTTCAAATCAGTGAGATAAACTCTGCTCTTAACTTACTCTTGAATCTATAGGCATCCAATTCCACATAACATACCAAGACTTGTTTGTATGACAATTTTTTTTTTTTAATCTGATCATCTGTGGAACACAAATACATAGCAGGAGAGAAATTATTCACTTAGGGCAGAACTCATTCCAGCTGTACACCACACAAAAAACATTCAAAGGTGTCAGGTCTAATTTCAATATTGGCTGTCAGCAGTCCTTCCTCGGGCATTCGTACACTTGCTCCCCACTCAAGACTCCTGTTATGTAGCCCAATTACTGCATGGCCAGTCTATTTTTTAACCCTTTTCCACAGGGCATTTTAAAAGTCTGCAGGGTAAACAACAGATCACTAATCATCACTTTTCAACTATACTTTGTGATTGTCAGTAACATACAAAATGTAACCTAAAATTATATATCTATTCAGATTTACCGCCTAGGAGTCCACTTCAAGTAATTCATTTGAGTGTTAAAGCACAACAGACAGCTAAATTTTAAGCCACACCACGTTCTGAAAACACCTATGAAAAGACTTAGGATTGTTTGCCGTGCAACCCAGGAGCATGGCTGATAAAAGACAATTCAAGAATGGAAAACACACTTGACAACAGCAAAACCCAACTCAAAGGAGGAAGCTTGCTTCCTCTTCAATAGGTTTTGTTCTACCATTGCAAAAAAGAGCAGCTCTGTTGCAATCAGCCAAATTAAAACAGAATTTTAGAATAGAAAAGGAGACTAGTTCTATTTGAACATTATTAATGTAATAATAAAACAATTATAAATGCACAGAAAGTACATTTTTGCAAACAATGCAGTGCTCACTACTGTCACATTTTTTTGCTCCTTCCTGTTTCAAAAATTATCTTCCTTCTTGAGTCTCAGATTTCTTTTGGCATTCATTATAACTCCTATTTATAACTACAATTTGGTTATAAAGAACCAGCAAATGTTTGCACTGTTATAATAACTGTTGTTACTAACAATTACTCACAAAGTTAAAGTCTTTTAAATAGACAAAAACTTACTCTGTCTGCTCACTCCTCTCCTGCTGTTAAAGGCATGCATACAAAATAAAATCCCACTTTTGCCTCCCACTGTTTTAAGAAAGCAAAGGCTGTCCAGGCAGTCAAAAATGGAGCCCTTAAATATGAGCAATTATAGACGTCATGCACCAAGTCTCACAAACTTTATGAGTTTAGTAGCCAACCCTGAAACTAAATCATTGCTTGCACCAGTCTAACCGCAAGGATATCCCCATGGCTGTTACTGGTTTTCACTGACTTCAAAAAAATAAATGCCAGAAATATTTGAGGAGAGCCTGATTCCAAGGCAAATTTGGAACTGGTCTGTTTTGGACAGTATCAGACGTGGACTTTGCAACTGTTCCCTCACTCAACGAGGAGCCAGTCAAAACCTCCCATTCCACTGTAGCTGATCTCTAGGGGGGTCTGCAGCCAAAAGCGGGCTTTATCACATTGCTCAGTGTCACACCTACCGAGGCCCATGACTGCCAACTGCAACATGGGCACAGTATGAGAACTGGCAGACAAAATATGACAGTAGGCGATACAGAATCTGTGGAAAAGGCATAATAAATGTCATCACGGAATGACCTCTTGCCACAGCAGAACTAACTTGCTTACTCGCTATAGTTGGTGGTTGCTCGATATTCTGGAGAATGAGATTATTCTCCCTGATGCAGTTCCATCACTTGCTCTGCTATTAATGCTTCATGCTTTATGGCCTCATTCTAAAGGAAATACAGGTCCATTATTCAGATATCTGCTG